CCTAAAATAAAATACACACTAATAACTATTATTTTTACACAATTTAGAAGCAAATTAAATAAGTGTAATTTATATTTTAAACTCGCCACAAATCATAGAATTAAAATAATCTAACAGTAATTTTTATTCCAGATTTGGTTAAGATAATCGTTAACTAAGTTGAATCAATTTCTTGCATCACTAAACTAGTGTTCTTGCCCTCGAAATCATTACATTTGTTTAATTAGCTTCTAATTATTTTCTTTAAAACTATGTTTCTAAAACAAGCGAAGAATTCCAGATGTGTTAAGGCATCATAGTATGTAATAGTCTTTTCTTTTAACGGATTATACTAATTAAACTTGTATTTACTTTAGGAATAAAAAATGTTGCACGTTATTATGTACATCCATGGACCACTTATATACTATTTTCAACTGTGCTGGGATATAATGTTTCCTCAGCAGTATTACCCCCCACTCCAATGCCATCCTACCAACTTAAGTCGATTGTTTTTGGCTGCCCGAGACACGTATTTTTAAAACTAAATTATTGATGTAAACACAATTTTGCTTGATTAACTCTTGATTAACTCTTATACAACAGCTGTCACAAATTTAATAAAACCAACTCAAATGTGTTCGATTACGCCATTCATCACTGCTGGCAAGGGAGTCGGCGTGGTCGAACCCTCGGGCAGATAAGGCTCGTTAGCTGGGGACAGCCACTCTTCTAGGAGAGACAACTCCAAAATCAAACAGCTGCTGCTTTGTAGTTTGTTCTTGGTTGGACAAATGCTATGGAAGCATATCCAAAAAGAAAAACAGGCTTAAATCGGAGTCAATGGTCTGAATGGCGCATAACCAGTTGACACGTAACGCTTAATTGTGATGGAAGCATGGTCGAGTCGGCAAAGCTCATAGTTGATACATTCGAAAAAAGTTTCGAGTTCGAACCGTTTGGAAGATAAGGCTCGACCCATTCCTACACTAAAAACTAAGAACGGAAAAGAAGAACTGCTGGCAATACTAGTTTTCCTTAAACCAAAATCGTTAAAAAACAGCTGTAAATGTTTAAAACTACAGATAGACGGCAGCTGTCATAATTTGTTAATACACATATTTCTGTTAAAACAGTTTGTGTATAAGTATAATCTACAATTGTGTTAAAATAAATGAGTAAATCTTGTAAACAAAACGATAAAAGCAATACATACAAAGGTTCCAACTTTTTCAACATTCTCTATTACCTGTATTTATTTTACATTTATTTCAATCATATGCTAAATATTTAAACCTCTAAAACAGTATATGTCATTCAAACTCAAACTCGCGATCTACTTAGTATGGGCTTTCAATCACAAATAAATGTTATTGTTCAAGGCTTTTCAGTGATTCACACTCCGGACAGAAAATGGCGTTATATGAAACACAGTTTAAATGTCATTATGTAGTTGAGAATGTAAGACAGGTGCTGAGAATATGGATTCGAACTCGAGACTCAGGGGTTAGCAGTCTGACTCTCTACCGCTAGGCTACGTGGTCCCATCCTGCAATTTTCTGCGAGCTTTTTTAAAAGTTATTTCGCCCCCATCCACCCCCTCCCCATCAGGTTATACTTTCTCTATTCCTAGCAATCGATGCACGACTCTGGGCGATCCTTCGAAAGTCAAGCTAATGCCTGCTAATAATGTGTTTCATCTAATCTCTTAGTCTAAGCGTCTAACAGTGTTGCAAAGGCATGCGGGAAATAATTATAAGTCTGCTTTTGTTCTATTGTTATTACGGCCCGACCACCAGGTCCTTTACTACTGGACCGGGGTTGGTTAACAAGAACAAGAATAATAAGGAATAAACACAATTATTAACAGGAGCACATAGATGGGATCTATGATGTGGAAAAATGCTCATATAAAGATCTGGGATTAATGAAGAACGTGTGCACCTTCGTACGAGAAACTGGAGTCCTGAAAAAGTATTTGGATGAACCGAGTCCCACCAAGAACCAACCTGAGCCCACTGCCGATGACCATGTAGGTACACGGGAGGGTGGCAGGATCCATAGCCACTAAACCGACCGCTAGGCCAAGTAGGGTCAAAACGTCGCAGCAGTGACAGCTCGAGGCAAATGCCACCCCCTCCCCTGTGTAATAAACGTGCTAGCCTGGTCGCCAGGGTGTCCCTATTCGGCGTGGTACAGAAAGGAGCCCATAGCTACGACTCACCCGTTGAAGCACATACAAAATCCTAACCGTAAAAGGCGACGTCTGTCTTTGGCTAGAGGCCCCCGCATTGCACCCCATCGCGGTTTTTAGATGATCTTTGCTTGCGACCTGGTCATGGGGGCCACTCACCGAGCGTCAAAGTGGTTGTCAAACAAGGTACAGCTCCCAGGCCAAATAGTACGAGAGACTGGAGCGGAAGGAAAGTTTGAGACCATACAGCAGGCAAATAGTACGAGAGACTGGAGCGGAAGGAAAGTTTGAGCTCGTACAGCAGGCAAAAAGTACGAGAGAATGGAGCGGAAGGAAAGTTTGAGCCAGCAGACAAATAGTACGAGAGACTGGAGCGGAAGGAAAGTTTGGGCCCGTACAGCAGGCAAATAGTACGAGAGACTGGAGCGGAAGGAAAGTTTGAGCTCGTACAGCAGGCAAAAAGTACGAGAGAATGGAGCGGAAGGAAAGTTTGAGCCAGCAGACAAATAGTACGAGAGACTGGAGCGGAAGGAAAGTTTGGGCCCGTACAGCAGGCAAATAGTACGAGAGACTGGAGCGGAAGGAAAGTTTGAGCTCGTACAGCAGGCAAATAGTACGAGAGACAGGAGCGAAAGGAAAGTTTGAGCCAGCAGACAAATAGTACGAGAGACTGGAGCGGAAGGAAAGTTTGGGCCCATACAGCAGGCAAATAGTACGAGAGACTGGAGCGGAAAGAAAGTTTGAGCTCGTACAGCAGGCAAATAGTACGAGAGACTGGAGCGGAAGGAAAGTTTGAGCCAGCAGACAAATAGTACGAGAGACTGGAGCGGAAGGAAAGTTCGAGGTCGTACAGCAGACAAATAGTACGAGAGACTGGAGCGGAAGGAAAGTTTGAGCTCGTACAGCAGGCAAATAGTACGAGAGACTGGAGCGGAAGGAAAGTTTGACACCATACAGCAGGCAAATAGTACGAGAGACTGGAGCGGAAGGAAAGTTTGAGCCCATATAGCAGGCAAGGGGTGCGCCAAGGGCCAAAGCCACACCCTGCCTTAGAGATTGGAGGCGGTCGAATCGGTATTAGCGACTGGGGGTTGTGTACAAGGCGGTAGGACGAAGCCCCAAACCTGGTGGGGGAGGGGGGAGAAGGCAAGCCCGGTGTAAAAACCGGATCAAAAAGCAAAAAACATGTATCGCATAAAGCCAAAGTTTTCGTGAGACTGTCTCCAGTCGACATATTTGCCAGTAAGTTGGTGTTCGCTAATGTGGCTAATGTGAGTCCACCTACTGAGCCGGTATATTCGTGTCATTTGAGTAACTGTACAACACTTAACATCAAACCGCCAACACATGAAATACAATGAGTAAAATACCACTATCAACAACGGAAATAAAAATTATTTTAAAGCGACTACCCCACTAGCCTCTAACGGTCAGTTCTATTCTAAGTCTACAGACATCCCAACTCACCAGGTATGTCCCCTCTTGTTGAAGTCTAGCCCTGCACTGGCCTGTACCGTCCTGTCTCAATCCCTCACCAAATAGACATATAGAGAAATGTATGTTCCAAGCAAAAAAAATTTAAATAAAAAAAAAAACTTAGGCAAAACTATTTTAAAAAATGTAATGTCTCAATAGTAAACATTTAAATAACCACCAGTAATTTCTCTCTTGAGAAAAAAAACATGAACAAATATTACTCAAGACATGTTCGTAGTAGCAAAACGTTCACAACAACCCCACAACCTGAACACGGGTTGATAAATTTGAAAAAATTGTCCTCGTATATTTGTTAACATCACATAACTGCTTGCAATGCTTTACTCATAGATGACAATACACTCATAAACAGCATAAACTTTCAATCACTTTTGGAATAAACACATTGATGTAACTCACAAAGCAACCTATTATCGATAATTTTCCGTCAAAACCCATATTTAAGATATCGGGAAAACATTTTTAAATCTACGTGTCATTTGACTTCTAAATGTGTTCATAAATATATTTAAAATTATGCGTACAGACCTTGTGGTACTGAAAGGGTTAAAATAATTATTAACAAATTATAAGCGACGGGTAATTGAAATAAAAGTCTTAGGCCAGATGAGACCCGCATATAGAACGGACATAAAAATCCAACTGTATTATATATCGACAACGCCAAGCGATAACCACGTCATTCGTCTCTGCGCTGTTTGACTATAACCATGGGGACTCTGAAAATATCTGCTCGAGCATTTGTTCTAGTGTTTGCTCTCAACTTCATTCTGTGTTCTGGTAAGGTTATAAACTTTACGTTGCTACATTTTGTGTCATCAATTTGTTTTTTATTTTAAAACAAAGAGGTGTTGGCGATTGCTTTTACTTTCGTTTTTTTCGATTTATCGAATTTCTTTATTGTTGATTGAGTTCAGTATTTTCTGCGACATAGATACTTACACTGATCTATAGATTATGGAATAAATATTTTTTTCCTTCAGTTGTTCAGCAATTGGACTGCGTGGCCCAGCGTTAGAGAGCTAGGCTTCTTACCCAAAAATATCGAGTTTGAATCCTGGTTCAAGTCAATAGAATATCAATAAGCCACCTAACTCTAATGGGTACCTAATTCACGTTGAGGCGGCACGACTTAGTTCTGACCACATTATCCCTTAAACTGTTGTGGTTTCTAAAGCAGATGTTCTCTATGAAAATTAAAATAATAATTGTTTATCAACATCGTCCCCTAAGAATTAGAAAAAACAACTGCGATAACATTCTGCCACAAGGGACTCCAAAAAATCAATTGAAATTGAAATTTAATTTAAACATGTTTGGCACAGGTCAACATAACGATGACAAAATAAAACCTCAAGACATACAAAAAAGAGAGGACACGATTAACAAGGTATATTATTTTTAATTGATTTGTCATAAATATTTTGTTCCTTTGTTACAATAGACAAACACAAAAAGTAATTGCAATAAAAAACGCTAGAACTCATTCGTCGGGATCAAAGCTACGCACTTTTGACTGAACTTTGTCCTTAAAATGTTAATGGATATGAAAAGGATTAACATAGCAACCAAATACTAGTTTACAACGCTTGAACCTGCATGAAGATCTTTACCTTTAATGGGCATAATGAATTTGTAATAACATTATTAAAATTTAGTATAATTCCAAAGCATTAAATATACAAACTATAAAGATCAAACTGACCTAAGGCGTGAATTAATTGTTTCAAAACGTTTGGCAACTCTTTCATGCCGACAAAAGCGCCAACATTTGTCAATATGGCAAGCCAACTAGTTCTATTTATTTGTTGCTTTCTTTTTATAGCTTATTGTGTCCATTTTCGTCTCTTTTTTAAAATTAATTTATTTACAATGAATTAATACATTTTACATTGGTGTTGTCTTGTAACAAACACTTAGAAATATATATACTACTAAAACTCAAGTTTGTTTACATGTTTGAATTATGTTTGTCATATATATATATATATATATATATATATATATATATATATATATATATATATATTTATATTTCTGTCCCAGGTACATGCAAATATTTGTCCTTAAGTGCCCTAAGTTATACATACACAAATAAATATTTTCCCTTAAGTACCCTAACTTATACATACACAAATGAATTATTACATATTAAAGCATACTTAAGATAATGGCACAAATCCATGAAAAGGATATACGTTGATTTCAGCCATATGTCGCACAGGTTTTAGTAGAATAGAAAAATAACAGATTAAACATATCACATATCATTGAAAAATGTGAACATCGACACAAGGCTAAATTACTTAAGCACGAGAAACTGTGCATATTTTACCACGTTTTTCTTAACTCAGTTCGCGTTTGTTTATGGATTTGTTTGTTGTTAAAATCGACAACGAAAATTAGCCCACTTCTGATTGCTCTAGTGATCTGAAATTCGGCATGCAGGCTATTTTCGCCTAACAATTTCAGATGCAATCATAAAAACTAACAATTAGAGACCTAAATTAGCTTAATTAAATTACGCCCCTTCTCTGTTTAAAGCGTATCGGCCGCTCAAGATTTGAAAATGGGCCTTTCAATAAAAAGTGTGACGCGCATTGTGAAGACCCCTTAGTGAAAAAAATAAACAACGCCGTGAAAGTGAGAAATTTGCGACAAATTACTAAAATATAATTGGCTACTTAGAAAATTTGCGATATCATTGGGAAGGCGTTTATCTTGAAAGGTGCAATTAGAAATCAGTGAAGTTTAAGTTACGAGTTTTAACTTCAAAACACATCCACATAGAAAAAGTACTTTTGTCCTTGTTTACTGTTTTGATCACCCACCCACTCTGCCCAGCGTACCAACCGTGTCACCGTTAACAATGTGTTACCGTGTCCGTGTGTTTGTTGACAACCCCAGACCATCACGTGATTCGTGAGTAGATCTCCACGCCAGCTACGGTAGCTACACACCTGTGGGTGTCCAATCCATTCGTGTTGACTGCGTTGAACTGAACAAATCGTTGTGTCATGAGGATTGGATATACCGATATGCGATAGTAGACTTCTGAAAATAGTGATAGGTTTTTAGTATAGTAACATCGTCTAGGTCTAGCATTATGGTAAGAAATTACGGTTAGGCGTATGGTAGGACTAGGGTTGCATTTAGGGACAGGGTTAGCATTGAAATTAGCAAGACATGTGTATTTTAGCATGCCCAGCGTACGAACCGTGTCACCGTTAACAATGTGTTACCGTGTCCGTGTGTTTAGCTTTTCAGCAATGTTGAAAACGCGTCAACAAAAAGAACGTCAACGAGAAAAAGCTCGCTTGAGGCGCCAAAGAGATCGTTCGCTTGAGACCGAGGAAGAAAGAGAAGCTAAAAGAATACGTCGACAGGAGCTAGCCAGTATTGGAAGCGAGGAACATCGTCTTGAGAGATTATCAAAACAAAAAGAGCGTCAACAAAAAGTTCGAGATTTTGAGTCTGCTGATGAGCGGAATTTGCGCCTTGAGAAACAACAAAAAATTCAACAACGAAATCTGGCCGTTGAGTCAGCGGAAGAGCGGAATTCGCGCCTTGAGAAACATTTTTTTTTAAAACCACGTTTTTCACGTGTAGCAACAGACTAAAAAGGAGAAAAAAATACTTACAATTAAAAAAAAAAACCACTTGTGGACTAAAAAGTAGAGAATAAATTTTTCTTCCGACCCTAGGGGATCTACCAATGACTGCTCGTAGATTTTGTGCTTCCTCGAGCTGTGCAGGTTCTTGTGATGACTGTTCATACATTTGATGACAAAAAAAAAACGTGGGTCGGACAGATTTATGATTAAAGCGAAAAGCACACAACACACGAATTTTGAAAATTTAATGGTGAACGTACCCACGTTTTTTGTCATCAAATGTATGAACAGTCATCACAAGAACCTGCACAGCTCGAGGAAGCACACAATCTACGAGCAGTCATTTGTAGATCCCCTAGGGTCGGAAGAAAAATTTATTTTCTACTTTTTAGTCCACAAGAAAAACGTGTTTTTTTAAAAAGTTTTTTTAAGTATTTTATTATTCTATTGGTATCACACTCTTATACACAAACACACGCACATATAAATACATATATTTACACACTCGCATGCTATTGTATAATAATTTGCTTGATCGAATTATATGCAGATTTGTAAATTTCCAATGGGATTTTACACCAATCCACATTGGTGAAAGTTGTATTTGGTGTCACCCCCGTAATATTTGGTAGAATGGTGCCAATTCATGCAAACATTAATCTACAAAGAAAAAGTATGTAAGGACCCAACTCTAACAGTTATAATTATATTTTAAAAAGCATTGTTTTTGTACTAAATTATAAAATTAGATACAATTAGATGTCACAATCCTAATAACAGTCGTGGATTGACATATACGTAATTACAATTCTTAACAAAACCTTTTTCCTCAGGCAAATAATTTTTGCAATGTGTTGTTGATATAACTTCCCCCACCCCCAAAATCCCCACCCCCACCTTGAAAGATTTAAACAGTGCTTAGATAATACTAACGATGTGTATCTATAGTCGGTTATTAATATACCTGGAAGTACCAGGTTTGCGTCATAATGCCACCCCCCCCCCCTCCCTCCACCTTCCCCAACCCTGTTGGAACTTGTCAATTTTGCTCTTAAAGTCTATTTACCTCTAATTAATCATTTATTTAAATGTAATGACCATTTTTTCTGTATAAATTTTGCTATTTTTGCCATGGAGTCCAGAATATGTTTCATCACAGCTATACGCTTTTGTTTTGCTGCTTGTCTCGACAATGTTTACCAAAATAGAAGCGTTCTTACATTAGTGTTTTGCTAGGTGATAATGCTGCTGTAGAAAATAACAAAGTAGCAAACGTTTTCCTAGTGTAAAAACACATGTTTTCAACTGATATTTAGAACACATATTCGTTATATTGTTTACTCCAGTCAATATGTGCCAACATGAACAATCGTGTTTTACAGGACATGAGAACGGCTGGAGTAGATGTCAGCAGAACACTGTGTGATACCAAGACTGACGGTGGAGGATGGATTATTATTCAGGTTTTTGTCATTAAAATTATTCTTAGCCATTTACCAATTTGTTTTTTTTTCCGATATTTTATTCTAACAGTTTTGATATATTTATTTAGTTAAAACACACGTATGATACAAAATGTTGACATTTAGATGCGATCTAAAGAAAAGACATTCTAATAGTTGAACGACATACCCAGTTTTTGTCTATTTAAAATTACGATGACGCTAATTAGTTATACGGACGTCAAAAGACACCAGCTCTAGTTTTGTTATCGTTCTGTCAGACCATTGGCCAGTATTCTAATTGGTTGAAGTCAGGTGACAAGTCAACAGCAGATTTTTTAACATAACTCAGTGTTTTAGTGGCTATTGGTGAGAAGGTGATTCTTAGTCTTGTTTATTTTGTTGTTCTTAATAAAAGTAGGGAGTTTTAAATAAAATAGAGAAATTCATAGTTTGTTATAAACGATTATAATGTTATGAGTACATTCATTTTATTTTTAATATCTTTTGTGTTGTATACATAAAATTGGGGAATTATTTGGTTTCACGTTTGAAGAGAAGCAAACGTTAAAGCAAGTGTTTTATCTCGTGATAGTTGTAACTGTCTTATACACAAACCATTGGAAATATTTAGAGAGTTCATGTGAAGAATATTAGGTCTTATATAGTAACGACTGCTTTGATTGTATGTATATTGTTTGTTGTAAAATATAACATAATAAATTTCAAAGATAATTAAGCCTTAAAATAAATCAAATGAACTTATTTTACCGTAGTTTTTTCGATGCCGTTATTTTATTCTGAACGGTTTTAATTTCTTCAATATTTTCATTTATATTAGCACTTGCGTAAATTAAAACATAATTAATCTTCGGAATCAATCAAATCAACTTGCTTAAACTTTATTTTAGCATTGTCGTTATTTCTTACAGAGACGTATCAAAGGTGATGTGACCTTTTCAAGAGGTTGGAACGATTATAAAAAAGGATTTGGTTCAACTGCTGGAGACTTCTGGATAGGAAATGACGTCATTTATCAGCTAACAAATTTAGTAAGAACATCAGAAATCTAGAACCTCTTTTAATTTTTGTCATATCAAAATTTAAGGAAAATATATTTTAGTGCACGCCTAATGTTATTACGTTTGACCATATATGTCAAAACACAAGTTAGTATAGACTTTCTACGCCAACGATTTTATATTTTCCCACACTTTTTGGTTAGGTAGACTTATTAGAATCCCAAAATACCATTTAATTCTTAATTATTCTTGCAAACAAAATTCACCATTTATCCATTCACTCGTTAATTACATACGTAATTGGAATAAAAATAATATTTCGCGTAAGAGAATATATTGCTAAGCTGCAATGTAAGCAGGAAATAGATATTCTTATATAATATTTTCCAACAGAAGTCTTTGGTTGTAATAATCGGATGCATGAAGGCTCTATCGAAATAAGTTTATCCAATATTTTTACTTTATAAACAACGTTTTCCAAGCATAGTTTAAATATCAACTACTGCAAGCTAATCATTAGTTGCATAAGTGGTAAATTTGTTTTTGAAATTTTCTTGTATTATTTATAAATGTTCGTCACGTTTTAGAAATAATTTTAATATGTATAATTATCATATATTATTAGCAGATCAATACTTAAAATATTTCAAACACAATGCAATATCTAAATATTTCTAATTTTTGGTCTACAACAGGGTTATAATGAACTCAGATTTGACATGAAGTATAAAGGTAAAGACTACTACGATGTGTACAGAGGTTTTAAGGTAGAAAATGAAGCAGCAAAGTATAGGATGAACTTCACGTCATTCAGTGGTGGGAATGCTAGAGACTGGTTTAGTTGGCAAAAGGACATGAAGTTTACAACCATTGACTCTGATAACGATTTGTGGTCAAGTGACAACTGTGCTGTAGACTGGAGTAGCGGTGGGTGGTGGTATGGGGAATGTCACGCTGTTAACGTCAACGGTGAATGGGCGAGTCGTGTTCTCGGTAAAGGAATTCATTGGCTTAGCATTACAGGCAGTACTGACTCTCTAGACTTTGTTGAGATGAAACTTCGTCGAATGTAAACAACCCGAAAACAATGCTTTGGTAAAAAAAAATGGATATACAGTAATCAAATTATTTAAATATAATCTTCAGAAACATAAACAACATTTCATATATTAAAATAAATAGATGTAAACATTTAACTAAGACAATATTTTCTTGATGGTGTTTAAGAAGTTTAAAATTAACGAACATTAAACCAACATTCTATTAAAAAATGATTTTAAAAACTACAACAGAGTTTGTTTTGCTATTATGATGTAATAAACCCATGTATACACTTATCTAGAATTGAAATTCCTCATAGATTGAATGTGCGTGTATTAACCATTAAAACAGGAAAAAAAAACGACTATGTTGGTGTCTATTATTTATTGCATATTCATAAATAGACTAGTAGTGTAGTTGTCATCATACACAATATTCAGACTCGGATCGTGTGAAGTTCAATTCTAATAACGTGTGTAATGTTTGTTCACTTTTATCAATATTTTTTCACATAGTTTTTCGAAAGATATATATGCCATCTAAAATCACATAAAGTAGATAGTAACTGTTAATTTGGGATCTGTAAAGCTTTGTATTATAAATGTGAACATTATGCGGTCATACAGTAGAATAAAAAAATATTATTTAAGTAAATCGTATGTTTAAGTAGTTAATATTTTATCGCGTTTATCTCATATAAAGCATGTTTGTTTATTAAGAAATCTCTACTATCACATAAGTACATAATAAAAGTTTAATTCTGAACATTTTTTTATCGAGATTGGAATATTCTTTTATTATCGTTTTCAAGGTATATAACCATACTCTCACAAATCAAGTCGGCAATTTTAATTGTTATCTCCCGTGAACAATTTAGCGTCGTTTGTGTTCCGTACCGTAGGCTAGATAAAATTCCAATTACCTAATTTTATAATTGTATTTGTTTAGTATGTTTACATGGACACAATTAATGGTAAGCAATTATATGCATTTATATACTTCTTTATTATAACGTCCACTTAATTTTTCTATCAAGCCTTCCTTTGTGTAGTTTAAGGAATTGTTTGGTTTGTATATTTACAAATACATCCGTTTATACAACTTATGGTTAATGTGTTATTTCATATGTTTTGTTTTTTTTCGTTTGTTTTTTTTAACACATACTAAAATCTTCGGAACTATCAAACATATGATAACTGTCGTTATTTTTTAATGTGATAAAGGCAATAAGGACCAAGGCTAATTGTAGTGCGTAATGAGTCCACACAGCTACGATGGTCCTTTACTTACGTTATGGAGCGTACACATTGACCACGTTTTTCATACTTATGTCGAGATTACAGAAACATGTTAACTCTATATAATTGTACTGTGTTTAGTTTGTGATCCTAGGATAAATCAATAACTTTATTAACTTAATGTTTCCATTTCTATCAGTATTTTGTCATACAAGATACAACTGTTGCTGTGGTCTGTAAATCCTGTAAGCTTGTCAGTTCCTCTTACGTGAATGTTTTCAATACAGGTCAGACCTTCCGACACCAGACCACTGCTGACAAGATTTTACCTTAATGTTATTTATGGTATTAGCTCGAGTATTAGCTTTATTTTTTATCTCTTGTCCTAGCTGAAAGTTGATTTTAGCTTCGTGCTTTATTACTTTTCAGAATTCCCGTTAACAAGTTAGATGGTGTATAATGAGCTAAAAACGGTAATGCTCGTGTGTTAGAAATGAAAGATTAGCTTGTATTCTAAAACGTGTGTATGTGTGTGTTCCCAGAGTATTGCTGTCATCAAAGACATTTGTAGGCTGTCACGGTAGGGGAGCGTGACTGGGTAAAATGGGATACGAAGGTTCTATATGGTGTCAAACGTACAGACAAAGGGAGGCTACTGGAGAAATATTTGTGGCACAGCCTAAATGTAAACCCCTCAAGGAGATAGATTCCTGGTCTAAATCTGACGAATCTACCCGTTTTAATTTAGTCATAAAAGATGTACATATTTACAAATAAACACACACACACACACATATATATATATATATATATATATATATATATATATATATAAATATATATATATATATACATATATATGTGTTTATTTGTAAATATGTACATCTTTTATGACTAAATTAAAACGGGTAGATTCGGGTAGATTTATTTATTTATTTATTTATTCATATATATATTTATATATATATATATATATATATATATATATATATATATATATATATATATATATATATATATATGTTTGTGTGTATGTGTGTGTATAATACTAGCGTTCCCGTTCCCCTTAGATCTGAGATAGATGTGGATGCAGTTTGACCGATACGGAAATTAACAGAAAAAAATCTTAAATCTGCATTCTGCATCCTGTGTAACCTGTAAGTTAACTATATTGTTCGGTTTATGTTGTTGCTTGCGTATTCAATATAATTTTTTTCGTAGTTTTAACTGTCGGTAATGCATTTTTAAAATACCTTTAAGAGTTAAGGTTAGGGTTACTATAATCTATTGAGATTTCTCTGTACGACACAACATATGTATAATTTTAGAAATTGTAATTCAGTAAAATTTAAATGCATACCTACGAAGCGAACATACAGTAAAAGTACATTTGTATAATCGCACATCGTCTTTTCCCTTTTGTGTAATATTACTTAAGTATCAATGCCTAGTGGCTTCGCTAGGTCGGGTGTCACCCGGTGCGGTACCTTCTGGTGTCAACCCTCCACCCCCACACCCGAAAATAAATTGTTTCCCATTTTGCCTAATGGCTTCCATTGATGCGTACAAGCCACCTATTAGTTCATGTGCAAAAAGCATCGTTTTCATCGAAAATAATTAGATTTTGGTATCACCCCCTTTCCGGGCATAATTCAAAATATTCAACAAAGCCTTTTGTCCTATGTAAATCTTGCAATTGGTGTTAGCACCCCCCCCCCCACCTGGTGATAGTTTTAAAATGTGCACAGCTTATAGTAAAGATGTTTATCTATAGTCCGTTATTTATATTCGATTAACTCTAATTAATCATTAATTAAACTGGCAAAAAGCATATGTCAACCCCTTAAATGGTGTTACCCGGGGCGGTCCGTACCACCCGCCCCCGCCTCGCGACGCCTCTGTCAACGCCCATCATTGTTTCCCTTTTTACAAGCTTTTGAGTCACTATTTTGTCTGTACACACATTTAAATTAAAGATGGGCGGCGTATGTGTCGGTAGGTTAAAGCACACAACGGCAAACACAAAATACTCCAGTTCGAATCACAGGTTCATGTCAGTAGAACATCCTTGAGTACACCCAGCCCTGGTGGGTACCTACTAATGTTAGGGAAAGTAAAGAGGCTGGGCATAGTGCTGGACACGCTATCCCTTATAGACTGAGGTCATTAAAATAGGTGAACTATACTACGCCTTACACATGGATTGTCAGGCTCGCAATTTGTTTTTACAAAAATCAGCGATACAATTTGGGATTTAAATACACAAAGTACATTAAAAGGCAAATGTAATGGAACAACGTTCTACGATTGGTTATAATGTGGTGGGGGGGATGGAAACTGCTAAATTCAGTTGATTAATAAGTAGGTCATCAATAATTCTAATGAATCCATGCTCCACTATAGTAAAAAATAATTATTAATAAAAACTGTATTATAATGAAGTCGACTTTACATGACGAGGAAATGAGAATTACTGTCTTGCATTAGAAACGTTGAGACATAGCCATAACAAAAATAGCTACAAAGAGTTCATTAATATAGAGTAAAAAAAACTTCGCTTATTTTAGTATGTATGTATAAATTAACGTCGACGTGACGTTCTGCAACATACGAGTTGGTCTACCATTGTAGTGTCATTCAAATCTCTGTATTACAAAACCCTACAATGTCTGCTATTTTAGTGACGGCTTTGATCTTTGTGAGTGGCATCGTAAGGGGTCATCCATAAATGACGTCAAGCTTTTTTGACGATTTTTACCTTTCCCTTCCCCTCCGTCACACATCCTCAAAAAAACCACACCCCCCCCCCCCCCCCAAACCCCAAAATGACGTCACACTTCAGCCTACCATCCCCCTCAAAATTGCAGTGGCTATTCATTAGTGTATATAAAAATGCATACTTTTTAAAAATGTAGAAACAAAATTAGTCTGAATGTTAAAGCACTGCACTTATATTATTGATATATTCTAAACGATCAAAACTTTTAATTTAGTTTTTTTTTAATAAAATAAAATTGCATTTTCTAACCTGGCGGTCAATATGACAAGTAAAAAAATTAAATTCCCCTGTTTCTGTGAACACGGCATATGACAGCATAGTTTATTCTACACTATGCCTCGGCGTCTTTACTTTCCCTAACGTGAGATAGGTACCCATCAGTGTTGGGTGGACTCATAGACGTTCTACTGTCTTTAATATGGATTCGAACTCAAGACTTTCGGGTTAGCAGTCTATTGTTTTAGGATTTTCAAATGATAAACTATAAATACCGCTAAAAAGAAATTAATTTTTATCAACTATACAATCTCTTTTTTCTATGTGGTTGAAGAATAGTAGTTAGTAGGGGGTTGCTCTGCCTTTTGGGGAGGATAAGTTGTGTGCGGCTTATTTTTTTTTGCATTTGAATCATATGCCTTTCCCTCTAGATTTCCTAAATATTGGTTCATCTTCAAGAGATCCTTCTATAAATTCCGTCTCCATTTAATTTGACGGTGACTTTTTCCACAATGTTTCCCAGCCACAACCCTATAGTTAAATCAGGGACGGAACTAAAGTGTTTGGTAATGCTATCAATATGAAGGAAAGAAAACATCAAAGCTCGTCTTTTGATCAAGTGACAAAACACAGACTATTGTTGAAAATTTGGGTACAAAAAATACAATTCCATCCGACGAATCATTTCAAATATCGGAAATATAAAATATAATAAAACAGATCAAGTTATAATATAAACAGAAATACAAACAAGCACTGCGATCATAGAAAGTCAAACACATACAGTTAAGGATATGCTAAGGCAATTTAACATTTCAATTCAACATCAAGAGAAAATATAACGCTTAATATTCAGTGTTTTTCTAACAAATCTAAAAACAGTTATGTTCTATATAAAAGTATGATGGATTTAAAGATGGATTTATTAAACCTTACAAATGAGAATATAAAAAAATAACGCTGAAAGCTTTGCTGAGATTCAAAACAGAAGTATGACAAAATTTGAAGATAAGAGCAAGCTACAGTATGAATCACACATAAAATCACTGAGGAGATTGATAATGAAAGCGTTAGAGCTGAATGATTCTTACACTTAGATAAATGAGAGTGTAGAAACATCA